GTAGTAAAGTTAAGTTGTAAATAGTCAACGTTAGTTTTACTTTAACTTTAACCCTTTACCCTACTACTTATAGTAGTATATATATATATATATATATATATATATATATATATATATAAAAATTCTTAAATTTGGTTTATTTTGAAGCTATGTTCTAGATTTTCATGACATCACATTTATGCATGCTCCCCCCAAACTTGATGTTGAAGCATCGCTGCTAGAACAATTTAGATTTAAGGGTAGTGAAGGCAATTTACAATCTTCTTCTAACCCGATCAACAGGTGCGCAGCTTCCCTACAGTTTTAGCCATTAGATGGTTCTGCACACCCAGCACTCCTAGTTCTTGCACCTTTAAGGTTATACGCCCTCTAACTAACGTCCGCACTAAGAACATTCGGAATAGACAGAAACAATATGCAATTTTCCTATACTTAACATTCACAGCAGGTCATGTTCTTCTCCCTTAAATATGTCGAGCTTATAAAGGCGAAAACCTTATTTCCACTATTTTATAGACCTAATAATTCGTGATAGTCTTAACCGTGGGCAGGATTTAGGACAAAATTGGACGGAGGGGGGGGGGAAATATCGTGTGTATACTCTACATGGATAAAGTGTGAGCAAGTGCTCCCTGCACCCTTTCAAGTAATCCCGCCCGTGGCCTTAAAACTCAAATATTTGTAATCATAAAATCGTTCACTGGAGGGTATATCTATAACAAACAATAATGCAAGATATGTGCACTTTCTTACTAACAAATATCATCTTATACCTGGTATTCGCGATGACTGTGTTCTTCTCCTCCCCAGGGTATATAAACACATTCATGGGATGGATGAAGTTTGCCTGGAATATTATCACCTCCGTGATGGGCTCTGGCGACGTAAATGGTTTCTCCAGAGTCTTCTCCGCCCGGTACTGCACCATTAGGCACTTGTCCTCCTTCAGCATAAACCCATTCAGCGGCAGACTTGTACTGGGTAGCTGAATAACGAAATATTTGAAAGATATTACTTAAATATTCTGAAGTCTTTACACAACTGTTTCACAATAAAAGTTTAATATATATTTATTTAAGAAGGACTTTCTACTCTTGTATGCACAGGACAAGAACAGAATTCTTTTACTTCTGAATAGGCCAGAGAGATTTCCGATTTACTGCATAAATTCAGGCAAACCGTTAGAGTGCAGCACATAAGAATAGAATGATGTAGTTGTCACATAGCATTTGAAACATTTATAGGAGAAAAACCTAGAAGTCATGGCATGAGCAATCTTTATATGATTGCAAGGTTTGGCAAGTTTACGATTTTGATTAACAATAATGCTATACTGTAGTTGCTCAGCCTTGATACGCATCCGATTATCGTTTTCAAATGGAGGACCTACTTTAATATTTTAACGACACGTCATGAAGACTTGGGTTAAACTGCTAAGTCAGAGATCCACATGGGATTCAGGCACAACATTTTCATTTTGAACTACTAACCAAACAATAGGAAGGGTGCCATAGTCAAGGTTTGTTAGTCAATTTGAACTAAGTAATTGGATGAATTTTATTATTATTATTTTTTTTTTTAAGTCCCCCACAACCAAAAGTGTAGAGAAAGTCCAACGGCGTCACGTTTAGAACCTTGGGCCTTTTGATCGTGTCCTCGAGTCTTCATATTGTTACGTCTCTGGGTCGTTTGTTAATTTCCCGTAAAAATTCTGTCCAAAGAACTTCAGCGATACAAGTCCTTTCTTAAATAAAACTAGTCTATTCTTTCTCAATACAACTTTGCAATACACGGTCATTTTAACTTAAACACACGCTATAATTCACAACGATTCACGCACGTTACTTCCGACTCGACTATCAGTCTCGATATCTCCCTATCTGCCATTATCCTCTCTCCGCTTTATTTGCCGGGCTTATATATATTAAAATAGAGGGCGTCTGGCAAACACTCGAGCTTTCATGATCCTTCTAGAAAATCATGACGTGTTACCAGGGTCACGTGACTTCCGCTGTCGTAACACTATTTTAATGAAAAGCGGTTAATGTAAACATTGCAAGACTGCTACCCGAAAGGTGTACGCCAGTACTTTTTTTCTACACAAAGAAGTCAAACGATTTGTATTAAAGTTTTGTATATTTAACAATAATTCAGAAGGTAGCGAGCCTTTTTTAAAGTTTGAAGACAAATATACAGAATCAACGGACATGCTTATGTAGCGTACGTCATTTCTAAACATTTTCTTCGTGCTTCAAGAACCTTGAAAGCAACATACCACAAGTGTTCGTCAGCTTTAGCATTTCAAAACAGTGCTTTTGTTTTGTTTGCTCTCATGTTCAAACACCCCGCTAAAAATCGGAGTTCGATAGCTGCGATGTACAGAGCATAGATAGGTCTCTGTATAGCGTTGTTCTTAACAGAAAAACAAAAAAGTGCTCGTGTTTAAAACGGATGTGGAAGTTTAATGCACAAGATTTTGAATAAAAGATGAAACCACGGTGAGATACACACACACACAC